TCATTCTTACAGCCACTGAAATACAAAAGACCACAACGTCCTAAGTTACTTTGATCTAGTGAATCATTTTTCTTACAATCCATGGGTTTTATATCACTTAGTACCTGACAAGCTTGAAGTTGAATGTGGTGGCTTAGTAGTTAAAAAAGAGAAGATCAAAGATCCTAAGAGAGAGAGAGAGAAAAACTCTGTAACAAGCTAATACCTGACACTTGGTGTAAGAAGTATTAGGTAGAATTGTCCAAATAAAAATTAAAGAGTTAGAGACAAGGTCAAAGGACAGTCCACAATTTTAAAAGACTGATAAGAAAACTGGTTTACCCAAATGAACCCAGTTATCAACCATCTAGTAATTCCAGAACCATGCTCCAAAGAAGCTGATAATTGGGTCTCTAGAGAGATTTGTTTTTGTTTTTTTTTTAATTTCGCGCAAAGCTACACGAGGGCTATCTGCACTAGCCGTCCCTAATTTAGCCAGTGTAAGACTAGAGGGAAGGCAGCTAGTCATCACCGATGGTCAATCCCACTATTTGTTGGTAAAAGAGTAGCCCAAGAGTTGGCGGTGGGTACATTATAATGCCTCCATGGCTGAAAGGGCCTCTAGAGAGAAAGAAATCTTTCAGCTTCTTTGTCAGATTTCATTACAAATATCAGATATGGATAAAGCCTAATAGAACAAGATATTCTAAAGCAGGACAAAGTAAAATACTCTTGAAACAGCAACATATGGCTCAGTAGATCTCAAAGAAGTTAGTAATGAAAGATGGATAAACAAACAAAAGACTCTAGGCTGGTCTTCAAAATTAACAAAATATATCCAAAAACCTCGAGTTAAAACTGATAAAAGTAGAGATATCAGCTTACAAGGGCAACCCAAATTTGGATATGAGACTCAAGAATTTTAGGGGCAAAATGAATCACAGACAAAAAAGCTTAAGCTTAAGATCACAAAAAACTTTGAGAGGGTAAGGTAAAACATCAGAAAATAAAGTACAAGTATACTGAAAAATGCCTGCTAAAACAATGTCAGGAGAAGATCAAAGACAAATAAATTCAGTACTTCTATAAATAAGAAGAAAAATTGGTGGAAGACACATGTTCAACATCTAAAGGAGAGCAAACGTCTGAAGTGAAGCTCATCAAATCATTGGGAAAAGTGCTATAAATGCCCATAGCAACACCCAACTTCAGATCAAATTTACCATAAAAATTGAAGATAAAAGTTTTCAAATACATAAAGTTCCCGGAAAAAACAACAAATAAGGCAGTATAAGTTACTAAGAATAGATGAGCCAAACAGTTGAAGTTTCTGAATTATCATTAAAAAAAAACACACTGCAGAATCCATAATCAACTTCTGGTGAAATCAAAACTTTAAAAAAAATTCAAAGTTTCCATAATTATCAAAACACACATAAACTACAAGAAAACCAAAACAAGAAATGTTGTAAAAAATAAATTAAGAGCTCAGACAGTAGGTGCTGTTTCACTAAAAGGAAAGCTATGGATAAAACAAACAAAATTCTGAGTGATAACACAAAGTAGGTCTTACAATCAGGCTGTCAGTTCGTTATATAAGGACTAGCTTAATTACTAGACAAGAGGGATGGTAGGTAGCCAAAAACACCCACTACCAATTCAATCTAACTGAATAGTGAGATCTGACTATCACTTCTTTAATGCACCCGTGGTCCCTCAGGCTGAGTGTCAAAGACAGCCACAAGGACAACTGTGGAGAAATGCAATACCTTTGTATGTAATATTCACTTTATCAACAGAAAAGCTGCTTACATGTATCATCATCATCTGTTCAGTGATGTGTATGTATTTTGATGTTAGAATCTCATATTTCTAATAAGCCACAAACATCATTTGAACTTCACATGAACAGTTCGATCTTGTAGAGTTCCAAAGAAAATGGTTACCATATTTTTCTCTATGGTTTGAATACATGTATGAAGACTAACTTCTTAGGCATTCTTATCCTTAAAATTAAAAGTTTGTGTACACAATTATCAGTAAGACTACAGAATATCTTCAAATTTAAGTAGTCATTAAATACCCAACATGGATATTTGTATATATTCTATCACTTGATACTTCTCCATTCAGATATAACAGTATAGAAAATACTGAAGATCAAATAAACAAACACAGCATCACTGCTTTCTAAATTGACAGCTTACAAAAAATAGCATGAAATTGTTTTTATTGCTAGTTGCCATTAGCAGTTCCCTGACAAGGTATAGGAAATAAAAACTACTGGTACCTGTATCTGTAGTAGGACACCAGCATACGTTCCCTTACTGAGCCTTCTATCTTCTGATCAACTACCAACAGCATCACTCCACAAAGATATAGAGCTTCACACTAGAAAACACTACTCTTAGAAGTTCTCCCATCACTACTTATATTTATCACATGAATCTACATTAGTAAACAATTATTTAATTTGTAATTCACATTCATTAACACTTCTAAAATTTTATGGTTTCAAAATATATATTACTATTTTCATTTGTAACTTTTCTTAAAGCTTAATGATAATTTATCTGCTGGAAATAGGTGTACTATTTATAAATGAATTTTTAACAGTAGTTATGTACATTAAATATGTACTTTAGGGTGCTAAAACATTTATCTTGGTTTTTTCTGATAATTTTTTTTAAAAACTTTTTTTAAGTTTCTTTTTAATTACAGTGCTACTTCTGTTATCGGCATATGTCCATTCCTGACCATGCGCAGATAGCCAAGATTCACCCCCAAGGACTTATGTACCATATAATTACTGACCATAATAAGTTCAAATTAGAAATAAGCAATATTACATGAACAATTATATTAAAACCAATATTAATAATACAGTAACATTTTACCTTTACATTGGAGGTAATCTTGATCACCTTCTGGCCCTAGAACATCTGGGCCAAAAATGTGCAGCTACTTGAAGTTTTCAGTAAGTTAAATTATAGATAGTAGAGGTACTTAAAACAGAAGACTGAATTTTGAGAAAAAATTACAGGTTTACAACTCTAACTCAGACACAGGGGTAGTAAATATTAATAATAATTTGGTTTGCAAATATTAAGAAAAGAGTATTTAAATTTAACTGATAACAATTTTCAAACTTATTTACAGATCCTATTTTGTTTGAGACAAAACCTATTCACATTTGGTATTTCTATAACAAAAAATAACACAAACATGGGCTAACTTTTACTGTGTTAAATCTACATAGTTTATCTTAATATGTTAAATCCAAAATTATAAAATTTTTGATATGAGACATACTTTCAAAGTTATAACCAAAGAGTGTTAGATGAAAGTTTGTTTGAAGTTAAGCACAAAGCTACACAATGGACTAGCTGTGCTCTGACCACCATGGGTATCAAAAATCTGGTTTCTAGCATTGAAAGTCTGCAGACATACTGCTGTGCCACTGAGGGGCATGATGAAAGTAACTGTGACTTAAAATTATTTTACAGACAGTAATATAATCCTATGTTATTTTAATGAAAAAAACAAGCTTGTTTTACAATATTTTCAGCAAATAAGTTCCAGAAACAGCTGCTTACATAGCAAATGTTTTCAGTTTCATTTTGTTATAAAAAACTCAGCTAGTAGTGAATATATTTAACTGGACATGATATAAATATACAGTATGTATTAGATGACCAAATAATGCAACAAAGAACTTTAGTAACATATGCGTAATTAAAAGCAAGATTCACAGGCTGAATCATTAGAAAGTAAACACACAGTTCTTTTATAACTACAAAACAAATGCTAGTAAATCAATACGTTGGCAGGTTGTTTATTAAGTTTAAGACATAATTGCCAAGAAGTAAGTGAAATATTATATGTCACGTCCAAGAAAGAGTTCAGAAGAGAAGAAACAACAGAACAATGAAAGGAAGTTAGAACTCTAGAAATCCAGGTGCTTAGGCTAGAAGATCATGTGGAGGCAAAGGTTGAGTGGCTTGGAGTCTAGGTACATCTAGGAAATACAATTGTGTCACTAAAGAGATGTACCAAATTCTAAGAATCAACAAAATAAGAAGGTGTAGAGTCATGTGCAAAACAAAGTCAAAGCTAGAATCATGTGTTGCAGTTATGATTTTGGTTCTGTTTGAAATCATGCCAACTTCTTGTTGCAGACTATAAAGATTGAGGTGTAGTGAGCATCCTATGCAAGAAGTATACAGCTGTGAACCACCCAGTTAAAATCTAGCCTACGAATGTTCATTTACCTGCCCTAAAGAACATTTATCATCCAAGCTCCATGTAAGTTGTATTGTTATTTCCAAATGATCTAGTAGTGTAAAATTTTAAATATGTACTCAGAAATAAATAAAATAAAGATAATTGATGCTTTTCTTGAAGCAGTTGAGATTTTGATAAGCATTCTTGAGGAACTGTTAAAGGATTATCCCATATATTAATTGAATGATATATAAGTGTATATTATGGTAAATAAACACATATCCTTTAAGTTGTTCTTTGAGTGATTTCTTATTCTTTACGTAAACTTTATTGACTCATGACTGTTTATCCTGATATTAAAATATCATTTGTAGCAAGTTGTCTTACATATTATCAACAGTGCCTGTTACAAAAGTATCTTAGCATCTGTTTAATCTTCTCACTATGGACAGGTAAAAGTGTGCATGTCATGACATTTTAGAGGATTACATTCAAAATATAATTAAACTACTTTATGATCACACGATATGAATAAACTTGGCATAAAAATGCAGTTAATACTTAAATTTTAATATTATATAAGCTTTAAGTTCTTAATTTTATAATAAGGAAATATTAATAAAAATAATCCTAGTATGAGAATTGAGAAATTTGCTCTAGGTATCCCCTCTTCTCCAATTTATTTACCATCTCACTATGAAGTACAAAATTTAATGTAAATTACTCATTATAATATCGCTATTACTCAGACAAAGCATGATTTTTATACCCTTCAATTTTAATTGGTTACAAAGCCATAAAATAGGAAATCAGACCCCTCTTGCCATACCCACCTGTCATATCCTCTTTTTCACAAATTGCCAGTACTTCTCTTTGACATTTAATACTATATTATTTATAACCAATAAAAAGCCAATGTTTTAATCTATCAAATGACTTATTACATTGCTTTCTGTACAGATAATTGTCTATTTTGCTTCCAGTTCAAACTTAATTCCCTGGGGAAACACATTGACAAGCTTAGCTGAATTTTTAACAAGTCTTATGGGATAGTTAGAAAGCCAGGAAAATTATGACAGTTATCAGATATTGTCTGCATCATTTTATGTGTTATTATTCAATGTTATTAGTTGCATTATTTAATTAAATAAAAAATTATTCAGTGTAGTATTACTATTAGTATACAAAAGTAGGGTTAAGTTTCATCAACAGTCGAAACCAAAAAAAAGAAGATCCAGGTAAGTATAATATCTTTTGTTTTTCCTATGTATTCTTTACTTCTTATTATGAAAGTAACTACAATTTATATATTATAAATTTATTTTGTTAGATGAGGTAAGATAATAAAAAAGAAATTTTCACAAGGTAAACTCACAAGTAGCCTTACATAATTCAATAGATTAATGTAAGCTATACATTTGCCAAGTGATTTACAACTTGTGTGGTGGGATTATTAGTTAGACACAGTTTAAAGAGCAATAAAACAATAAAATTTAAGTACAAAAATGTGTATAATGTTACAAGATTTAAATTATTTAGGATAAATAAATGTAGATTCATGTTAAAATCTGAAATCATTCCAGAAAGAAAAAGAGGTAATTCATATTTATTTAATATTTTTTATAATGGTTACATTCATTTCACCAATGACTATAAACAAATCTATGATTGATATAGAAAATGTAACAAATTTCTGTTATAGGAGCTAATAAATAATACAGAAATGTTTCTAACACTGCTCAGACTACATAAATAACAATATACAAAATTTTTGTTGGTTGTTAAGCACAGAACTACATAGTAGGTTATCTGTGGTATGCTTACCACAGGTATCAAAGCCAAAATGTTAGCATTAGAAGCCTCCAGAATTACCACTGAGCTATAAGGAAGCTATAAAATATACATACACACACACATATATATATATATATATTATATATAAGAATTTTGTCTCTTCTAAATTAAATTTGTAAGAATCTTACCAGCAATTGTTTCCCATCTTCAATTAGAAGAACAGATTCAATAGTCTGTTGTATATACACTCCTTCATCTAGTTCTTCGAGATACCTAAATAAACACCACAATGTAAAAATGTTTTGTTTTAGTCAAATTTAGAAGCTACTTATTACAAATGATACTGTACAAATCATTTATACTTGAAACTTTATCAATATACTTCTCACTTCTCACAACCATCATCAGGGTAAATGACAAGAAGAGTTTCATCAGTTCTAACCCTTCCCTCCATATAAGATTATACTGTAAGAACAAGCAAAGTTACAAAGAAATTTAATGAAGTCACTCTCACCCACTTAAACACCCAATCAAAGAAACCACTCAATCTAAAGATAGCCCTTGATATTCATATGTTGTTCAGAAAACAAAAAATTAATTCTATACAACAGATCATCCATTTTACAAGTTCAAATCATTTAGAGATATAACCTAACCAAAGAACAAGACTGTATATGGGTTTCAATATTTATTTATTATCTATTTCAACTTCAATATCTATTTTCCCAATATTGAAGTTATTTCTTGCAAATTTATAATTTCAATGTTAAGACAACTATAGGCAATTTAATCAAGATTTAACTTCATCTTTCAACAAGACCAAAGTTATTTATTGTTTATTTGTATAAATCATCCTATTAGTTCATATTTTGTGTAACAAAACTGCACCCACCACTATAGAATAAAGTCCTGTACAAGGTTACAATCACATATCTAATGTTATAATAAAGGGACCAAAACTGTACCCATCACTCCAGAATAAACTCCTGTACAAGGTTACACTAACATATCTAATTTTATAATAAAGGGACCAAAACTGCACCCACCACTCTAGAATAAAGTCCTGTACAAGGTTACAAGAATATCTCTAATTTTCCATTAAAAATTTCCATAGATAAATCCCAGAAATTTTATCACTTTCTTCACCACAGCTAACCATTAGGCAAATATTTCAAGTTTCAATAATCAGACTCGAATCTCTCAAATTACTAACCAAATTTCTATGATCCATGAAAGTGAAATAACCCACTCATGATAAGAGTTAGCTTTTACTTTACCTGTTCAAATCAAGCATGTATTTGTGGACACTCTCAAATGCTAAATAAAATCTTGTCAATATCTCAATGTAGTTTTCTCTGAATTCTTCATCTCGATCTTGTAATTGCTGAAATAGAGAGACAAGGTTAGGTGTTAAAATAATCTCTTGAAATAAAGTAAGCCAATTTTTATAAATATTCTTATATCTTTCACAGATACCAATGCTTAGTTTTGAATTACTGCATTGTCAAGTCAGTTACAAAATTATTGACAAGCAAACAGTTAACACCCTTCCAATGTTGCAATAAACTAAGAATGAATTATAGTATACAAATTTATCTTGAAAGATTAACAATAAAATGTAATTGTTGAATATGAAAGAAAGTTATTGTCAAAAGATTTTTACTTACAGGACTACTTTCAATTTTATTATCATACGTGTCTGCCATCTGGAAATAGCTAAAATCACAAAGGACATCTCCATACTTAAGTTGGTCTGATTTATTCTCCAATCTGAAGACAGCTGGAACCACATCGGCTAGTCGAAGAAGTTCAGCAATTACTGCATTACCCCTGGACACCAGTCGTAGCAGGTTTTGTCCACAGGCATTGTTATCAGCTAAGAAATCTACCATTTTGACCACGTTTTCACCAAAAAACCTTTAATGTAATCATGAAGTTTCCACTGCATATTAATAAAAAATAACTGAGTCAAAACACAGTAAAACAAAAGTTTAAATTATGTTTCATATTTTATAAACAGAAAGTAGATTATAATGGCATGGTTACTACAGCAATTTATTGGTTGTAATAATTTGCTGATATTTGAGTTTTCAATTTTAGCCATTCTTAGTAAGTTTTCAACTTTTAATTGGTATACCTCTATTTAAGAAAAAACAGCTGATGATTTAAATATTTAACTTGTGAAAAATAAGTATACTCAACTATATACTTGTTACAATTAAATTTATCTTACTATAGCAAGGATTTGAAATGTTTTACATTAAGAATGTGATAAATTCAAAATTATCAATTATTGTTAATACAAATATCATTCTCATACACTTTGAAAAGGCTATACATTTGTACCAGTCATGGAAACTTTCCAGCTACAATAATTACATTTGCACCAGTCATGGAAACTTTCCAGCTACAATAATACTGAGTGACTGAATATACATTTGTACCAGTCATGGAAACTTTCCAGCTACAATAATACTGAGTGACTGAATATACATTTGTACAAGTCATGGAAACTTTCCAGCTACAATAATACTGAGTGACTGAATATACATTGTACCAGTCATGGAAACTTTCCAGCTACAATAATACTGAGTGATTGAATATACATTCGTACCAGTCATGGAAACTTTCCAGCTACAATAATACTGAGTGAT